GGGCAGAGGGGTCCAGGGAGCCGTTGTGTTCCCCCCTCGGTGGCAAAGGGTCCGGGGAGTCGTGGCGTTGCCACCTGGGAGGGCAAGGGCGGGAGAAGGTGACAATGAGCTCAGTTTGTGTTTGGTTTGCTCAGAAACAAAACCTGCAGGCCTGTGGAGTCGGTCAAGGCTGAAAACAGCTCTGTGAAGGTGAGTTCACGTGGATTCTGCACCTCTGTGTAGGGACCTGCAGCACTGAGCCACAGCCTCCCCAGAGCACACCCCAGAAACCTTCCCAGGAGCCTAGATCATGGGACAGCTGGAATTTTCAGTTCTCCACCCTCATCATCACTCAAATCGAGAGCAATCATCACCCTGATTTTCCTGGCACTGTCACAGGACTATGGGACAGCTGTTCCCCATGTCACACACACTCAGGGAGCTGCCAGCCCCCCTCCCAGGCAGGAGTTATCCAGCCCATGTACACCTGTGCCCACAATTTACAGCAAAGCACTTGGAAACTGCAGAACCAGAGAGGCAAAACCAGAAAACCAGAGTGAACCGAGAGCAGAATTCCTGGTTGAAGCCCCCCATACCTCGTGGCAGACTTGGCAGGTCCCGAAACATCTGAACTCTGGGAATCTTCGTTCTGGTCTAGAGGAAAACAATGAGAGTGACCACTGTTAGGGCTCTGCACAGCTCAGGAGCCCTCCAGTGTTTCAAGGATTTAGTTTTAACTTGTGTCACTGTTTAGAGCAGTCAAACACTAGGGTGGGAGGGTGGAAGGGTCTGCTCCCACCTCCCAAAAGCTTCCACTTGGAGTTTGTTCGGAATTCCTCCATGAGCTTCACCTCATCAGGACGTTCATCAATGAACTCTGCCACCTGGAAACACATCACCACGGTAAACAAGAGGGCTGTGAAGGAAAAAAGAGGCAGGATTCCCACCTTCCAACACAACTTATTCAGCAGAACTGCTGATGGACACTGATGTGTGACCATCCTTTAGCTGCCTTCCCAGGGAAAAATCTCAAAACAATTTTCCAAAGCCTTTTTCTTCAACGTTTCTCCCTTCACTGCCAAGGTTTCCAGCCTCAGCTACACTGCAGCAGCCACCAGCCAGCCCAGTTCCTCCTGCCTTGTTCCAGCAGCTGTTGTGACGCTCAGAACTGCTGTGCTCTTGGAAAACACAGAGCCATTAAGAACAGGCTCCTTTGAGCTCACCCAGCTCTCCAGGGCTCCGAGCAGGAATCCCACCCAGGGAAACAGGAGGAGAAGGGATTTGGCGTCTGAAACCGCCGGCTCACCACAGGCATGTCCGCTTCGTCGTCCTCCTCCTCCTCCTTCTGCGGGGCGGCGGCGATGCTGTTCCAGCTCACGTCGTCATCCACGATCCGCATCCTGCGGGAGGGGAGACCATCAGGAGCGTCCCGGCCCCGGGAGGGGAGCTCAGGGCGGGGTTCTGGGGAGATTTTGGGGCACCGCGGAACCCGGGCCCGCCGCAGGCCTCGCCGCCCCCTTTGCCCCCGGGACTCACCCGGCTCTGCCGGTGCCGCCCGGCGGTCTCTTCTTGCGGCGGCGGCGGGGCTGGGCGGGCGCGGCGGGGCCGCTCAGGTACCGCTGCAGGTACTCGGCCTTGGACACCCCCGGCGCCGCCATCGCGGCCGCTGACGCGCAACCGCCGCGCCGGCAGGAAGGGGCGGGGCCACACTATGTCTGCTGTGTGGGCGGGGCGGTGGGCGTGCCCGCACCGCAGAGCGGCCATAGATAGAGCTGCGATTGGGCGTGGCCAGACGGGCAACGGCCATTAAAGGCGCGGAGGGGGCGTGGCCAGGCCGCATCGGAGCCGTGGGCGGAGCTATGAATGGGGCCGTGGGCGTGGCCAGGCCGCGCCCAGCGTTGTGAATGGCGCACGCGCGGGGCGGAGGCGGGACGCGGCGCCTCCCTTATTTTGTCCGTGTATCTTTATCCAAACACCTTTATTTGGGGGTCGCGGCCCCGATTTCCAGTCCCCCGTCCCCCCCATCAACATAACACCTCCCGCCCAGCTCCGCTGCCTTCAGCCTGGAGCAGTTCCCCTGACTCCCAGGAAGGGGAGAAGAGTCCTGGCCCTAAATCAAGTCCTGGTCCCTGGAGCGGCTGGGAAAGGGGCCGGAGGGGTCCAGCGCCCCCTGCTACCGGCCCGAGGCGCCCTCAGGCTCGTAGCCCTCCGTCTTCATGTCGTTCAGCCCCAGGTCCTCGTTCTGCTCGAACGTGCGCTCGTAGCGCTCCACCCTCAGCTCCGGGTCCTCCTCTGGGGCGTACACGTTCTGTGGGGAGAGGGGAAAACCTCCTGCACTGCCCTCTTTCCAAAGGCTGGGGCACGCTGCCCCCAAGAACCCCCAGAGGAATACAGAAGAGCCCACACCAGGGGCCCAGGGCTGTACCTGGAGGTAGCTGTTGCCTGCAGGGTCATCCATGATGAAGTGAGCCTTGTTCTTCCCGTCTATGATCTGCAGGAATAGAGCAGGTCCAGCCATCAAGGCTCTTCCTAATCCTTCAGCACTTCTGGCAGAGGATGGGAATCCAGAGCACACTCACCTCCTGCAGCTTCCCAATGAACTCCTGCAGCTTCCCCGTCCTGCTGGGCATGGAGCTGTCCCCCAGAGTGAAGGGGTTCCTCTCCACCTGGAAGGGCAGGTGAGCACCTGTGAGGCAGCCAGAACCAGGGCCAGCCCAAACAGGGGCACAGAGGGGGCTGAGCCCCACCAGGCTGGCACAGCACACTCACCAGGTCACGGATGTCCTTCAGCAGCCCCTCCAGCGTGGTGAACTTCCCCCCCAGCGCTCCCATCCCCAGCTCAAACTCCAGCTCTGGGATCTCCACACTGCATGTCTCGGACTGTGACAGTGAACACCCTGTGAGTCCCCATGGAGGGATGGCTGGGCCCCCCTGGACTCCCCACAGCCTCCAGAGGAGGACAGGGCAGGTATCCAAGGGTAGTGTACCTTCAGGATGTCCCTTGTCATGTCAGAAGGGTCTGTAATCCGGAGGGTAATCCTGGTGCCTTGTGGTTCAATCGCTCCTCCAGACTTCACCTAGGAACAGCTGGCAGTCAGCTCCATGGAATTCACACTCAAATCACACCACGGTGCTTTAAGAGCAGCCCAGAGGCCACTGGAAACCTGGTACAGTGCCTGAAGTCAACCCCAAACCTGGGACAGAGCCTCAACACCCAGCATAAAGCACCTCCTGACACCGCCCCCAAATCCAGCCTCCCTCCCAGCCTGGCTCCAAACCACCACACTGGGAAGCAGAGCTCAGGGACAAAGGCACCCACCCCCCCCAAAAAAAAAAAAAAAAAGAGGTCAGCACTTTTCCAGCTCACCTCATTCGTCCTGTGCCCACAGGAGTCGCAGTTTGTGGCCATGATAATCACTTCCTTGAAGTGTGGGATTTCTGGAGCAGACAGTCAAGGAAAACCTCAAGGCAGCAGCCTCGGTCCTTCCGAGGTACTGCAGGAGCTCGCTGTGAGCGGCCCTGAGACAGCTCTGCACCCTGGCAGGCTCCACTAGAGAATCCATCCAGGTGCAGCAGGAAGAGCCCAGGGTCAGCACAGGGACCCTCACCCCACCCCACCTCCCTGCAGACCCCCACCTACGCCCACCCCCCTCAAAGGATACGCACCACCTTCATGTTGGTGTTGGCCGGAGCGTTGCACTCAGGGCAGTTGGTGTTGAACTGCAGGACCTGGAGCAGGGCAAGGAAAAGGGGGGTCAGGATGTCCCAGTCAGCCCAGAACACCTCTCCTGGGTGTCACCTCTGCACTGCAACATCACCCACCTCGTCCCTCAGATCCTCTGCAGCGTCAGGCGGCTTCGCATCCACCTCCTCCCCCTGCAAGAGAAGCAGGTTCCCTAATTTGGGGACTCCCAGGGAACAAGGGATTCATCAGCCCTGCTCCCCAGGCTGAGAGCACATGGCCCAGCAGCCCCCAGTCACCTCCAGTCCCAGCATAGCAGCCTGCTGGGGGGTCCTCCTGTAGTGGGTGACCACGAGGGCGTCGTCCCGCCGCGGCGCGTGGGGGTTCTCCACAAAGCTGTTCCCTGAGGGATCGTCGATGATCTGCGGGAAAAGGGAGCCTGAGGGAGCCATCCTGCACTCCCCGTGCCAAACAGGGGCCTCCCTCCCGTGTGCACTCACAAAGGTGAAGGGGGAATTCATTTCTTTCAGCTGCCTCAGTTTTCCAATGAACTCGTCTATTTTCCTGGCCACCTCTTCGTCTGTCGCCTGCAAGATGACACGGAATCACTTAGGTTGGAGAAGACCTCCAAGATCACCGAGTCCAACTGCTGCAGGGGCTGCCCAGAGCTGATGGCAAAGGTGATCCTGGCACAAAAGCCCCCAGTGCTCTCCCCCACCACCCCTGCACAACACCAGCGGGCAGGGGATGATCAACCCACGGATTTGCCATCCCTGAGGAGCTCCCCCTTTCCCAGCACCTCACCCTGCGCACGGGCTGGTCCTGCTCCAGGCCTGCCACAGCTCTGTCAATGATCCCCTCGATGGTGGTGAGGACTGGAGAGGGGAAGAAAACAGAGGTGATGGCACCATTCACACACCACAGCCCCCCCCAAACTGCTCTGAGCTGGGGGGCACGTCACCCACCTCCCTTCTGGGAGAAGGCAGGGATCTCAAAGTCCAGCTCTGGAATTCGAGCCATGGCACAGTCAGTCTTCACCACCTCCCTGTTCATGTCCTGTATACACAGTTGGGGAGCAGCATTAGGATCCCCAGCAGATCCAGGGGCTCCCACACTGGGCTGTGCAGCAGCATTGGCTCCAGCCCCCTCTCCACTGGGAACGTGCACATTTCGTGCTTGGAACAGTTACTGCCAAACAAATAAAGCTATTTGCCAAACAGCACAGAAGATAAACACTTTGTGGCTGGAGCCAGACCAGCCCGTGAGGGACAAAGGTGTGCACAGGGCAGCCCCCCGTGCCCTTCACCTGGCGCGAGGTGACAGCCAGGGTGTAGCGCACGCCCTGCTCCTGGATCCTGCCCGCTGACTGGATCTCTGTGTTGGACCAGGAGCAGCTGTCACAGGAGAAGGAGCTGACGATGATCTCTTTGAAGAAGGGGATCCTGGTGAGCAGGAGCCGCGTCACTCCCTGTCGTGGGAATCCGAACCCTCAGGGCAGTGTTCCGCAGGCCCCACATCCCTGTCAGCCCCTCCCAGCGTGGGCAGCTCCCTGATCCCAAACCTCTCCCCACCCCAGCAGCCCCTGCCCACCTCCCTCCACATCCCACCAGTGCCCCCCGCCCCAGCTGCGGCCCCCAGTGGATCTTCCCTTGCTCCTGCAGACCCCTGTACCGAGAACCACATCCCTGCAGCCCCTGTGTCCCCCACCCGCCAACCCCTCTCCTGCTCCCACTCCGACTCCCGCAGACCACTGTACACCCCCGGACCCCTGCACACCCCGTCCTGCTCCCCCACCGATCCCGGTACACCCCGGACCCCTGCACAGCCCTGCACACCCCGACCCCCATGGGGGCCCAGCCCCGGCTCTCCCCGCTCCCTCACGTTGCGGAAGCAGTTCATGCAGAGGGACTCGATCTCCGCCGGCTGCTGCTCGCCGTCGTCGGCGCTGAGGGGCCGGAACAGGGACCCCCCCGAGCCCGGTCCCGACCCCGGGCCCGGCTCCATCGCCCCCAGCGCCGACATGGCGATGCCCGCCCGCCGTCACGTGGCGGGGGCGGTCACGTGTCCCAGGGCGGTCACGTGCCCCGGGCGGTCATGTGACACGTGCTCCCATGGCCACGATGGCGGCGCCTTTATTGTGGTTCATCCCCGGACCCAGACCCGTGACCCCCGCCCATCACCGCTCCCCGCCCGCCTCCCCGCCCAGGCTGAGCGCCAGGTCCCTCCACAGCGCGTCCAGCTGCGCCCGCAGGTCCTCCACGGGCGGCGGCGGCGCGTCCCGCGGCTCCTCCGGCGGGTCGGGGCGGGCGCTGAGCTTCAACCGCATCTCCTCCGTCTCCTGGTCCAGCGCCCGCGTGAAGGCCTGGATCTGGACGTAGGTGTCCCGCCGGAACTCCTCCACCCGCCGCTGCACCTCCCGAGCCAGCGCCTCCCGGTATCGGCCGGGGGGGGCCGGGGGCTCCCCGAGGCTCTCGGGGTACAGGCTCAGCTTCGCCTTCAGCTGCTCCAGGTTCCTCTGGATCTGCTGGTGCAGGTCCCGCGCGTTGCGGGTCAGCTTGGCCGACAGCTCCTGGATGTGCTGGTTGAGCTGTTCCGGGGTGGCGCGGGCGTGCGGGGCCACGGAGCGGTGCAGCTCCTGCACGTTGCGGTGGATCTCGGTGACCAGCCTGTCGGCGTACGGGTGGAAGATGTCCTTCACCTGGTCCGTGTGGAAGGCGATCTTGTCGGCATAGTGGGCCATGAAGCGCTGGAGCTCGCCGGCACCTTCCAGGAGCTGCGCCGTCACCTCCCGGCTCGGCAGCAGCTGCCGCCGGAGCTCCCGCGCCCGCAGGGACACCTCGTCCAGCAGCTCCTCCGTGAACGGCTGCAGCTGGTGCCGCAGGTCGTCCAGGTGCTTCCCAACCTGGTGGTGCACCTCGTCCACGTACGGGGACAGCTTCACCCGCAGGCTCTCCAGCTCCCTCCGGATGACCTTCCGCAGGCTGT